ATTATATGATTATGGTCAAAATATATGTTGTAGTAAACCTGAAGTTTACTAATACATATGACTATCATACTGAGACTACAAATGATTGAAAGATTAAAAATCTTCATGTTTCCACAATCATATGGGGTAAATATGTATGTGAGAAGTTACCTGCCTTATTCTTCAAATTTGTACTACATCATGTATCACAGTATACCAGAAGTTTACTAATGCAAAAGCAGTCACAGTAAATCAGAAATTTACTGATACAAAAGTAGCCACAGTAAATCAGAAGTTTACTGATGCAAAAGTTTATGTCATAGTAAACCAGAAGTTTACTTAGAGATAGCACATGCCATGATAAACTTGAAGTTTTTATTTGCCATTTTTAAATGAGCTATTTGAGAATTTAGATAAGTATATACTGAAGAACTAGAAGATTCTTCAAGAATTTTCTTGTGTTGCTTGTTCTCATAATAATTTGATTATACCAGCTAGAGTTGGGACTAAAATCCCCGAATTCTAAAATATATAAAAGGTAAATATGGGCCCATTCACCTATCATGTGAACCACTTATAGATGCATATATAAGATGGTTACATATATGTTTATTTTCAACCTTCAGTTTGGCATTTGAAATTATCTTTCTCAATTAAGAGCATAATTTTCAAATTATGAAATCAAGAGAGTTCATCTTGATGATGCTAGTTTATATCCAAGCTAGTTTAGCATTGAATACCTCCTATTAATGGCTAAACTATTGCTTATGAGAACAAAGCCTCATGTATTGGTCTTAGATTTTCTAGATTGCATACAGCAACACTTGTATGCATCATACCAACAAAATATGATAGTCTTCCCCTCACAATTGGATTAGGATCATAAACCAAATATTTTTACTATCTAATTACTTTTGATGTGTGGTATATGATTAATTTCTCTACCACAATGCACAAAGATTGGTTTTCCAAAGAAGATTGGGGATATGTGTTAGTTTTTCTAACTTTGGGGGATAGAATAAACAGCTGAAAATATGCTATATGAATCGAATTATCATTAATATGATCCTCACTTAGAAGATAATTCAAGTCAAATGCCAGAAGCATTTGCTGATTTAAAATTAAATATCATATTTCAGCTACAAATGCTCCTATTAAAATTAAAGTCCCTGGAGGATAAAGTTTACTGCGCGCATGAAGCGTAGTAAACCGATCGGTTCCAAAGGTAACAATCCTTGAAAAGGATAGGAGCAAATGATCAAAATGATCATAATGAGGAGGAAATGAGCTCTAGAAGAGCCCACGACATAACATTTCATGAAACTCCAGAAGAAGTTCATGTACCTGAAAATAAAGAAAGTGATGAGATCTCAACAAGTTATGTCACTTGCGAACCGATACAAAACGATCGTTGACGATATATTTGATACAATATAATTCACAATATTGTAAAAGATTGTGAGGATCAGACATGTAGTCCAAACACCTGAAGATGTCATGCCATCTAAATGCAAGTCATAACCTATATGACTCATTTGATTAAGCCTATATGAAGATCCCTGAAGGATTTAAAATGCCTGAAGCATATAGTTCAAAGCATTGTGAAATGCATTCAATAAGAGTACAAAAATCTTTGTACGGTTTAAATCAATCTGGGCGCATGTGATATAATCACCTCACTGAATTGATGAATGGAGCTTATGTAAATGATGGTATTTGTCCATGCATTTTTACAAAGAAAACAACATCATAGTTTGTTATACTTATTGTTTATGTTAATGGCATAGATATCATAGGAACTCCAGAAGAGCTCCAAAGGGAAAAACTTTGTCTTAGTCTGCAAATTGAATATTTAGCGGACGAGATCTTTATCCATCAATCTGTCTATACAGAAAAGGTCTTAAAACGCTTTTACATGGACAAAACACACCCATTAAGTACACCAAATGAGTGTTCGATCACTTGAAGTGAATAAGGATCCGTTCTGACCTCCAGAAGAGGATGAGTAACTCCTTGGTCCTGAAATACTCTATCTTAGTGCAATTGGTGCACTTATGTATCTTGTTAATGCTAACAAAGGTGGTACAAATCATATTGGTTATGCAGATGCATATTATTTATCAGATCCACATAAAGCTCGATCTCAAACCGGATACGTGTTTACATATGGAGGTACTGTCATATCATGGCGCTCCACAAAGCAATCTATTATTACTACTTCTTCAAATCATGCTGAGATAATAGCTATTCATGAAGCAAGTAGGGAATACGTATGGTTGGGATCAATAATTTATATTATTCGAGAAAAATATGGTTTGGAATATGAGAAAAGATCCACAATTTTATACGAAAAATAATGCTGCATGAATAACTCAATTGAAGGGAGGATTTATAAAAGGAGATAGAACGAAGCCCATTTCACCAAAATTATTCTACACACACGATCTTCAGAAAAATTGTGACATCGATATGCAACAAATCCGTTCAACTGACAATCCAACAGATTTGTTCACTTTGCCAACTTCAACTTTTGAGAAGATGGTATACAAGATTGGAATGCGGAGACTCAAATATTTGGAACAAGATTTTCATTAGGGGGAGTGAAATACGCGTTGTACTCTTTTTCCCTTACTAAGGTTTTTGCCACAAGGTTTTTCTTATAAGGTTTTTAATGAGATATCTAGTTATGCGTATTACTAAATATGTGTACTCTTTTTCCTTCACTAGGATTTTTTTCCACGGAGTTTTTCCTAGTAAGGTTTTAACGAGGTACATTATCTTTTAATGAACATCCAATGGGGAGTGTTATGAAAATATTATATTGTGGATGTCCATTCATTACTTCGCTATAGATAATCTTCCTGAAGAAGATTATCCATTTAGTACTCTGTTGAAATTTATCTACAAACAGCTTATGCAGGCAGGTTGCAAGCAACTCAATGAAATGATTTGCAGCAGCTTCTTATTAAACAGGCAGGTTGCAAGCAGCTCATGCAGACAACTTATAAGCAGCTAAAGAAAAGCCTTGCAACTACTTCTTGAAAAGCCTCGCAGCTGCTTCCTTTCTTCTATAAATAGAGTAGTTTTCAGTTCATTATGAACATGAGTTTGAAGTTGAATAATATTTCAATCTCTCTGTATAATTGTCTTCAGTTTATTTGCCTTACCGTGTTTATTTTATAACATTATGGACCATTTTGAATTTACGCCAAACATAATAGATCCCCTTAAGAAAAAATAAAATCATTTTCTGTCTTTTTTCTTTCTCCACCTTTTTTTAAAAACCCAATCAATCGTGAAAAAGAAAAAAGAAAAAGTAAAATAATGAGGGGAATCCCTTAAACCCTTCACTTCTCTAACTTCTTCCTTCCTCTCGCCTGAACACTTAAAAAACAGAATACTACCATATAGTAGCTTCGTTAACTCACTGAGTTCATCTTTAGGGTTTTATTTAACAGGATTCAGAAATGCGAGCTCTTCAACGAATCTTAACAAACTTGTCGCAAAACCCACTTCCTAAATCCTTAAAAAACTTCAACTTTATCAAACCCTTTTCTACTGGCAATAATGATTGGAGTTCCAATTTCGGAGGCACCGGATCATCTACAGAAGATTTGGGTTGGGATGTGGGTTCAAATTCATGGTCTACTGGTTTAACAAAGGAGCATTTTGATGGAGAAGTTGTGGGCCGACAAATGGGTTCGGGTCCGGGTCCCGTCCCCACAAATGTACGATCTGGCGGGCCATCTGTTGGGGGGTTCAGTTCAGCTAGATGGACTGATGAAGAAATGGATAAAGTGAAGGAGCTTCAAGCCGAGAATCGAAAAGGGAAAGCTTTTGTTGATGGATGGGATGAAAGGATGAAGGATATCAGTGTTTTGATGAAGCAGGTCACACAAATAATAGTTCCTTATTTTAAAATTTGATTAATATGCATTGCGGGGTAAAGATTTTTTTGTTAGCTACATTGGTTAGGGCAGGTTACTAGCATAAATTAGAAGTTAATAAACCCATGTTTAGTTTAGACACTTACCTGAGAATGCACTCTTAACTGATTGAGTACTGCAAATAGATACTGCCCTTGTTTTCTTTTGTTAATTTAACTACAATATACATTGCAGTGTCAATTGTTTTTTAACAAAATTGGTTAGGGCAGGTTTGTATCATAGTTTTTAGGTTACCAATACATGTTTACTGTGGACAATTACTTGATAAGGCACTCTTAACTGATTAAATACTGTAATAAATTTGCCTAAGCCTTGGTGGGCTGAGTTACCCCGTATCTGTGCTGGTGGGAGCTAGCATGTATTTAGTAGTGGAATAGTCAAGGTGTGCTCAAGCTAGTTACAAAAGATACTGCAAAAATTTGATTATGTTAATACTTTTTGCACTGCGAGCTTTAAAAAGTCAAAGTATTTTTTTCTTTAATTCTTTTATTTTTTGGATTTAAATTGTTTGTAGTTTTAATTGAAACGATGTTGGTATGAGTAAGGTATAGTGTAGGCTGATTAGAATTTATAGGTTTATGCTTTACTTAAAAGCAGTGGTGAGCTAAGCTCAATGAATGTTGGAAACTTATGCTGCGCAAATAGGTAACTTTAAACATGAGTTTTTGAACTCCCTTGACATAAGGAGCTTTAAAATTAGTGGTAAAGGGGCTTCAAAAATTGTTTAAGGTCATAAGTTGGAAACCCAGGTGTGGCATTCTTTTATTTTTTTGAATCCCCTTGTTAAGATTTTTGGATCTACCACTGTTTACTAGAATGGGTGTTTGAGCATATAGGGTTGAATTGTCTAATTTTGGGTTGATCTAAAATTAGTTTTCTTGATCTTTTTGTGTATTAAGTTTGCATACTTAGAAACTATACAAAACGTAAGGTGAGCTCTTATAGCTTGAATCAGACTATTGATAATTCTAGAAGTATGTATGGTGTAGACTGATTAGATATAATGTATGGTACTTGCTTTGTTTCCGAAATTCGTTATGTTGTTAAGGGTCTAGATTTGTTTTGTTCCCATTACGGGCTAATTTTGAAGTTTATTACTCCCTCCATTTCAATTTATGTGAACCTATTTGACTGTGCACAAAGTTAACGGAAAAAAGGCAGACTTTTGAAACTTGTGGTTGTAAACATTCCATAACATTTGTGTGGCTAGAAATCTTTTAAAACTTGTAAAACATGTGATACCATTTAAGACTAAGGGGAAAACCACTAGAGCTCAAGTACTCAAGCAGGTGGCTACTGAATTTATCCATTCAATTTGTAAATAGAGAAACAACAGAGTTTTCAACAAAGAAGAAAGAAGTGCAGACAACATAGCGAAGGAAATAGCTTGTGTCTGTCACATTAGAGCCTTCCGTAGTGTCTAAGAGCTTTTTGCAAAAGCTGTCTTTTAGAGTAGTTGGATAGATTCAATTTGATTTTGTGCTTCTGCTATTTTAGGTAGAAGGGTAAGAAGAAATCCTCCGTAGGACGTATGCTTCTTATCTCTTATTAAGACAGGATTAGCAGAGTGTTTCTTTTGTTTTGAGATACTGATTGACAGCAAGCTGAGATGGCTTAGCTGTGGGTTTGTATATATTCACTTGGTGAATAAAAAATTCTTAATTATCAAAAAAAAAAGCTCCTCAGTAAGGTAATATTGGAATCCTAAAATTAAAAGTTTTCTTATTAGGAATGGGTTCATTCGACTAAAAAGGAAATAGGGTCACGTAAATTGAAAGGAAGAGAGTATTAATTACTAAGTGTTTATTATGACCTCTCTCTGTTCCAAAGGCCATTATACCAGGCCACACTAACTTCGGTTACCAAACCAAGTACACTGTCGCATGCTGATCTATAATGGCCTTTGGAAAAGGGAAAAGACCGTAATGAATACTTAGTAATTATTCTCTCCTGCCTAAATACCTTTTTTGGGGGAAACATACTCTTCCTTTTGAAAATAAAGTAACGTATTAAGAAATTGCATGTCATAATATTGCAAATCAAACTTAAAAAGTGTTCGAATATGTGTTGAAAACTGTAGTCATCATAGTCAAGGAATCTCTTTTCATTAGCTTATAAAATGGGATAGGGAGAAATTAAATTTCCTGTCGTTGGTTATATTACAACATTAAGAACTCGATGAAGAAATAAGGGTATGAAGTGGTAGGTATCCTTCCCAACTATGATGGAATATTAAAATTTGGTGTTATTGGAGCAGGTAATGGAGCCAGGTGCAAGGGGGTCTTATTTGAAGGATTCAGAGAAGACAGAAATGTACAAGAAGCATAAGGAGAACCCAGCGTTGTATACGGTTGAGCGCTTAGCAAAAGATTACAGGATCATGAGGCAGAGGGTTCATGCAATTCTGTGGCTGAAGGAACTTGAGGAGGAGGAAGAGAAGAAGCTTGGACGTCCATTAGATGACTCTGTAGAGCTATTGCTTGATACATGCCCAGAGTAAGTCATTTCCTCCAAATCATTCGAGATTTCGTCGTTACATATTACTTTTGTCCAAGTTTAATCTGTTTTTTTGTACCTTATTTGTACCATCTTGGTACCTTTTAATAAAATTTTACCTTATAAAAAAGTACTTTTAATGTGGTTTTGTTACACCAGCATTTATATTAGTGCTGTATATGATTGGTTAGTCCATGGTATATGCAAATTGGCTTCAGTAGTGGCTTATTGCTGATCGAGTGAAGCTGGGGCTGAAAACTTTTAGAATTCTGATTATGTAGTTGTGTTTGGCACTGGCTGTTCGGCTGGTGGCTATATCTATATAATTCTGTTACGTGTTTCTTTAAGGGCATTCAGAATATTAAAAGAGCATGTTTTCGTTATATTTCCAACAGGTATATGTGACATAATTAATGGCTGGCCACGATGTGACAATGAGATTGGTGAGAAATAGTTTGAAGTAACAAAATAGTCTTGAACTTATCTTAGCAACACTAGTAACATTACTAATTACAGCTTTAGTCCCTAGTACTCCTGGTAAGACCATTTCACAGCACCCTGAATCTTGTTTGACTACAACAGTGTCTGTTGTATGGACTTTGACAACGTTGCTGCTGCTGCAATCCTCTCAAACATGTCTCCCATCGGATTGTCCAATGTAGTCATGGATTTTGACGATATTTCCATATCTGGATGTACTTTTATCATTACCTATATATAAGACCTATATAAATATGGGTCTTGCTAACCTACTACATGAAGGTAGTATGTTAGCAATGTACCCATTTTTTAGTTCACCAAAATACCGTTACCAGCTAATCATCAAAACAGGGACTTTTTTGTCTTTCACCCGAAATTCTCTATTTTCCCTCTATAATTCCCAAACTCGTCTCCGATTTCCTCCGTGTAGAAAAGTTCTTGTCCGAAGCTGGCTATGGAATTTCTCATTTGATTTTGAGGAATTTTTCCATAACTACAATTTCTTCAACTATCGAATCCATTAATTAGTTAGCAGAAACAAAAAAATCATAGGTAAACTTTTTAGCAAGAAGCAACACATTCTTAAGAGGAAAGAGGTCAGGGAGCTCTAATGGAGGCGACCTCAGATTTCAAAAATGAAGAATTATATTAGGAGAAAGGAATAGCTTTGAGAAAAGTAGCAGACTAGCAGTAATGAGCAATGGCAAAAAGGCTTTTGTTTTTGCCATTATGGTTGAACGTAATGTAATGATAGCCACCCATAATAGACTGCTCGTTTAATCAAGGAAAGAGGATTCTGAGGAGCTTTGTGTCGGAGGCATTGGGGAGAAGAAATGGGGGTGAGGAGTGAAAATTGTAGAGAAGAAATGGGGTATGTGGTCGAAAGGACAAAAAGGTCCCTGCATTTAATGTGTTGGCATTAAATAATAAGTTATTTGGTGAGCTCAAAAATAGGTACATTGCTAACATACTACCTTCATGTGGTGTGTTAGCAAGACTTATGTGTGTGTATATATATGGAGGGCTTACTCCACACAACTTGCGGAGCCCCAGCTTATGTTGTACCTGATGTGATTAGCAGAAAAGGATATGGTGGTGCCAAAGCTGACATCTGGTTTTATGGGGTGATCTTATTTGTCTTGTTGGCAGGTTATCTCCCATTCCATGACTCAAATCTTATGGAGCTGTGTAGGAAGATCAGGAGGGCTGAGTTCAAATGCCCTAATCGGTTCCCACTAGAAGTGCGGAAATTCCTTTCTAGGATCCTTGACCCAAACCTCATACAAGGATTTCCATTGAGAAAATAAATAAAAGCTCCTGGTTTAAGAAAAAGGTTGGATTCAAGCAATGCGGGAACTGAATTAGAAGAGAAGTAAAGGTTTAGCTTAGATGCCAATGCTATTATCGGAGCCATTACAAATAACAGTATCTCTTCCTATGCCTCGAAACTAGACTTTGCGAAAACCTACAAATCTAAATGCATTTGACATCATCTCTTTTTTAAGTGGGTTTGACTTGTCTGCTTTGTTCATAGGAAAGGATTAGGAGGAGGAAGTGCAAGCTCACTTCAGTGAACCCTTCCTCTTCTATCATGTCCTAACTTGAGGTAGTATGCCCGAAGCTAAAGCTGGAAGTAGTGAAGAAAGAAGCTGGATTTATAAAATTAGAGGTATTGAATGGTCCATTGATGCGAAATATTTGAAATTACTCTGTCCTTCAAACTTGGTTGAGCTGAAAAGATCATATGGTGATACGGTGGAGTACCAAAAGATTTTGAGACAAATTATAAGGCCTGCTGTGGAGGAAATTGTTTGGGCTTGGGAAAGTGTGCAGCCAATTAATAGTTAGTACTTAGTAGAGACACTAAAAAAAGCTTCTGATCTTTTATATCCACTCTAAGTTCTCACTTTAGTATCAGTATTTAAAGTACTACCTGTCTAGTCCTATAAGTCAATTTTACTAGTCCTAATAGTCAATTTTACTATGTGTCAGCTTGTTTTAGCCACTTGTCGAAGCATATTACAGACAACTTGTCTTTATACTTTTTTTAAGACAAAAAGGTTGTTAGGAGCGTCTCAACTTCAAGTAGACCATGGACCTTGCTCTACTTTTTGTTTTTCCATAGCGAATCATCACTCTAGATTCATAACTGTTATTGGATTTGATTGTTCATGTTCGTGGTTCTTTTTTTGCTGGATGGATAAACACACACATTCTCATTATTACCTGATTAAATTTTATTTATGCCACTATGAAGGAATTGTTTAGGACCAGCCTAGCAGGTACGTGTCCGGAAGCTAAATAAAACACGGAAAATCCACCAAACTTACTTCGAAGAATTTAAAGTTTAACGGATGTGGTTAAAGACTTCATTGTCAAACTGTTATGCAACATCGCTTCTCTCACAACTTTTATCGGACACAAGCTATATGATACTTGTAAGATGTATAATATGGACGGTCAAGAAAGTGGAACCTACAATCATATATCCTGTCATTGTTATTTTGTAGCTTAGGTGAGGAAATAAACTTATACAGTGGAAGTTGTTATGCGGGAACTTGTAATGTATGCACATCTTTAGTATAAAATGCTTGTAATGCATTTGTTTGGGTAAGTTTATCCTTCTAAGAGGCAATGTGTATGTACTCTAGTGATCCTGTTGCTAAAACAACTTATATTGTTCCACTCATGAAGACCAGTGGTATGTATTCGTACTTGTTATCCGTCTTGTCAAGCTGTGTTTTACTTTATTTATTCTGAAAAATACTGTATTAACTGACCTCATTTGAATGCAGCAGCTTTGCCTTGAGATGTTGTGGTGAGTGATAGGTGTAACCTCTTTGTATTGTAGTTTTATGTTATCTCAAGAATTTTTACTATAGATCTTCTCTAGCAATGTTCAACTTTATCTATCTTGAAAAATACTTTATAATTCTGCTTCATTTTCTCATGGCATCTTTACCTTCAGCAATATCATGGTGAAAGCCCTACTGTTGGCCCCGTGCTCAGCACGGGCATGCTTGTGATAATTTAGCGATATGTTTGTGCTGGTCGCCTGGACACTGTTATGAAAATGATCACTTTATTAACCAAACCTGTGATGGCAATAATTATCTTCCTTGTTGTGCAGATTTTTCAATTCTCATGACAGGGAATTTCATGTTGCAACTCTTCCTTATAAACCTGACTTCAAGGTCATGCCTGAGGGTTGGGATGGGACTACCAGGGATCCTGATGAGGTGCACTATGAGATATCAATGAAGGAAGATGAGATGCTGTATCAAGAGTTTGTCCAAAGGATGAACTTCAACAAGATGAAGGTTAGCATGTCTAAGGAACCAAATGAAACAATAAGTTGTAACCGTAATGATGTTTAAGGTTTTGATCTGTTATGTGTACTGTTATTCTGTTTTACTAACTCTGGGTTACATGGTTTTGCTTTGGTTTTAGATGGCAAATAAAGTGAAATGCCACAAGTATAGCCGCAGGCGTCCTTCAAATGGCTGGAATTTCACTGTTGAGATGCTAGGATCTCGTGGCAAGCGTGGGAATGGTGGTGGCTGGAAGTTCGTTAGCCAACCTGATGGATCCAGCCGACCCCTTGATGAGTTCGAGAAGATGTTTGTCAAGAGAGAGACCCCACGTCGACGGAAAAAAATTCTCCCATGATTTTTCTGGCATAAGGCAAGGTAGATTCCAGTTAAAAGACATGTTCTTAAGTTGCCAGATTTTCTCATAAGTGACACATTTCATGTGCTTTGGAAGGTTTTTTTTTGTCGTTCGCCAGAGCCAGTATGCTATGTCTTTGCAGATTGATCGAAAGTGGTTCTTACGGCTCCTGTATCCTCTCATCAAATTTGTCTAGTCTAAAGTTATTCTGGATCATATTTCTACCTCCATAATTTCACATCATTTTGTGAAAGATTACTACATCTGATTTTGTATGCTGTCTTTGCTATTTCACTTTAGATACTCTTCACAAATTTTTAAAAAATTTACCAGCATTGAAGTTCAGTATTTGCAAATAATGAAATGTTGTTTATGCCAAACATCTCCGTGCTTTAATTGTATCAGCTCTCTGTTTCCTTTTCTTCTAATCCTTTTAATCTTTTATGCTTTTGGAAGGGAATTGTGTGAGCATTTGAGAAGGTTAAATCTGACAATGAGCATAAAGGAGTATAAGAATCAGAGTTAAAGGAGGAAATATGCCATTGAAGCCTAGCTTGCTACTTTGAGATGTCATCAGTCAAAATATTCTAATAGAGGATAAGTCTCTAAATATTCTAATAGAGGACAAGTCTCTGGGAACCTTAACTATTTATTTTGTTATTTGTATTTCAGTATAAAGTGGGGCAATGCTACTGCTACCTATGATGTTGAATCCTCCGTTTATAAAAAAGATGTCACTTTTCTTTTATCATCATCACTCTGTAAAAAAAGTAAAGACCAAGAGTTGAAATTCACTTGAGAAGATAAAAAAAATGAAAACATAGAAAGTCAAAAAGTGTGGCCACCAATATGATTACAACTTACAAGCACTTAATAAAAGAAAGAAAAATGGGCGGGGAAATTGTATAGCCTTTTTTTATACAGAAATAGAAATATTAAGAATAAATTCCGAATTAGGTACATACATTGCTAGTAAGCCAACTAGATGACATCTGCTAGTGTGTCGAAGTCTTTCTTAATAGGAGGATTTTATTTCATAAAAATTCTTATTAGCGATTTATTTATGGACATGGTATTGAATTTCAAGTGTCAACATTTAATTTTAAGAATAAATCTACAGTTGGTTGAGATTAAAAAAAAGAAAGAAGATGAAAATGAGGTTGTAAATAAATGGGTACAAAAATGTTATAAATATTCTTCTTTCTTCCTGTACAAACCTAAAAAAGTAATAGTCTATGTTGATACACCTTGCAATAATATAAATCGCAATATTTCAGCTGAAAGCATAGTACCACTAAAAGATTGAATGATGAAAGTTGCCAAAGTTATAAGAAATGAAGGCCCCTGTTTTCGGCCAATTCAAGAGAGCTTTATACTTTCAATATTCCAAAGTTGAATACTGTAGAAGTATGGTCAAAAACTGAGGGCGTAGACACTAGAAAGTGTCTTTTTGGGACATTTGAATATTGGAAGAGATTATTCCAAAATGTTATAAGTATGATTATGTTCTTATACATCCACAACTAGTTTTGAGTAGAACAGACTCAAGTTCTTCTAAACTGATGCTTAACTTGTTTCTTGTCTCAGTTCAATGTTTCATATGACTTGATGCGATCAGCAAAATTAGAGTAAGATCTTGTATTATAACATCAAACAGTGAAAACGAATTAGTCTCTATGTTCTTGTTTATATTATGCACTTTCTTTATAGTCCGTCGCGAAACGAATAAAATCATTTTACATTTTGAAAACAAAATTCATACTTCTTATTTTATCTTTAATAAAATAATTTATAGCCAAAAAAAATATTCATGGCTTGTCTTGTTTTATACCACATATTTCAAAAGTCTTTCGTTCTTAAATTTCGTGTCCAGTCAAACTATATCACATAAATTGGAATGAAAAAACACAATTGCGAAAATCATTTATATCCCTCAAATTTGTCATAAAATTTAATATCCCCTCAACTTTGAATAATTGTCATTCTGCCCCCTCCCCCTTATCTTACACAATATCTATTTTGCCTTTTATCGTTTTCAATTTCCTCCTCTATGTAATACTCTTTTTCATTTTATAAATTATTTTTTATGATTTTACCTATAATTTGAATTATGTTATATCTTATTGTATGTGATAAATTAAATTTATTAAAACTATAAGTAGAATAGTCCTTTTATACATTTATCACAAAATCTACTATACTTTTGTGACTTTAATTTTAATACAATGGGCATTAAGTATATATTACGTTTTTTCAGTCATAAATAGATAATCTTTTAGAAGTCTGTTATAAAATCTGCCTTTATTTTTAATAATTATAAAAATTTTATTACCTGCATTGACTATATGTTTATAAGTTCCTCAATATTTTTTATTCTTGATTGCATAAATAGATTATAAAATTTGATAGATATTAATAAAATTATTTATAAGAGAAAATTATTGCATTTAATATTATTCTACTCATCCTTTTCATTATTCAACATCATTTTATTATATTCTTGATTATCATTTTATTTTTTTCATTTGAAAATGAAGTTTTATTACATAGGTAAGTTCATTGCGTAGATATTAGAAAAGAAAAATTATCATGATACTAAAAAGGTAAAAAAGTAAAAAATAGAAAGAGATAAATGCTAATAATATAGAGATTAAAATAGGCATTTTAAAAAGTCAATTGAGAAAAGAGGGGAAGAATGACAATTGTTCAACACAGAGGAGGGATTTTGATTTTTAAAGCACAATTCAGGGTATAAATGATTTTTACCCATTTTTAATAACATGTAAATTTCAAAAGAACTTTAGAGTTATATAATTACTAAGAGGATTTTTTTTCCAGAGCCATTCAATAGTATTTTGAAGAAGCACTAAAGTATTTATTGGTCCGGACACCGTCATTATAAAAAATAATCAGAGTTAAACTTTAAATCTAAGCATGAGGGATAATATAATATTAGGCTTAAAATCTCTTGGACACCTTTATCATTTAACTCAGGACTTAATCAATTAGTTGCCCTTGTCTTTTTGAACTAATAAGTCAAAAAGTGCAAACGAGCAAAGTTGCTTGCGAAGTGAACGACTAAACAAGATATAATGTTGAATTTTAGTAAAATTTTGTTATAACTTTTTGACTAATAATGCCTTCTCAATCATGAGACAGAAAGAGGTGTACACGATATCTTTAAAAAGTGGTGCCACCGAAATGAACGAACAAATCGGCAAATCGCTATAACATCTTCTTATTAAGAAAACAAAATTCATATCATATTAATAAAAAGTAATTCAAGTACATTAGTACAACTCTTTTCGAATTTTTTTTAAAAAGGAATTCATGATAACCTTATTATAAATAATACTGCATAATAAGTTAGAAACAAATTATTATCACTAACAAGTAGGATCATGCATAAAAAGTTAGAAACAAATTATTATCACTAACAAGTAGGATCATGCATAAAAAGTTAGAAACAAATTATTATCACTAACAAGTAGGATCATGCATAATTTGGTAATTATTGATTACCTTACCAAATAGAAAATTTTGGTATTTGATATGATGTTTGATTTACGATTTTAAAAATTATAGTATTAGCCTATTAGGTATTGTATTAGGTGCATATTAAAAAAAATAAATATTGATACCTGATCGAAATGCATATTATAATTATAGTATATCATATATGCTCTCTATTGATATTTACCCGTAAAACAGTATAATTGAATTTATAGTGTGGCTTATAGATAAGCGAATCGATTTGATCCCAGAATGATAAATAAATTAAATAGAATGCAAGACTTAGCATTGAAATCAAGATAAGACAACAGACAACTTGATTCCGGGAGCAAGGCTTCCGAAGGCATCAATAAGAATATTGATAGACAAAAAATAAAGTATTATTGAGCTTAGAATAATGTGTAGCATAAGTTTGTCAGAATTTTCGTGTTCTTACAATGGCTGTTGAAGTCACTATTTATAGCTATACCTAGGGAACAAGGTCCTAAGATCAAGCCCCTCTTAAATGACAATAATGGGGGTCATTGATGAATATGTAACGACATGCCATGAATGCCAAAATTCTCTGTAACGGATGCGTATTTAATATTGAGGAATAGTCTCCATTGAATGTCATCCAGTGGCAAATATTTGTTTGCCCTCGTTGATAATGTTCCCTTTGGGGTCTACCCGGTGCCAACCGAAGCTGTTGTCCTCAGTCTTTGTTTCCATTAGCCTTTTCTTCTGTCTGTCTCCGATTTCACGTGTCATTCTATTATTCGAGTATTTAATATGAACCTATTTTACCATATAGAGACAGTCTCCCTACTTTCTGGTGACACATCTTTATGTCACCGGGAAGTTGGTGTAGATTCCATTCTTGGCGGGATGTTCTATGAACCCTTCTGAAAAGTATCTGATGCTTGATCAGACACACATCTCTTTGTATTTAATACCTCGAACACGTGTCACTCCATGACTTAGTAATATTTTTGCCGTTTCTCGAGGTAATCATGGCCATAATTTTAGCCGCCTATTTCTTTACTATACGTCTCATTCTTCTTCTTTTACACTTCACAGTTCTACAAACTCTCTCAACTTCTTTGCATTCAACTCTTTCTTGCTTTCACTTTTCTTCAATCTTCTTCTTTAAAGAACTCTTATTACCTTCTTGCTGATCATGGCTTTTTCTTCAAAGAACTCAGATTCCCTAAAAAACAAAGAAAACGTCGTCGATGCTGACCTCCCTACGGTGAGCACCATAATTTCGAGAAGACTCAACACAACCAAGGACTTTGAAGAGAAGTTTCCTTCTACAAGTTCTCTCGTACATGGGCTATTGGCATATACCCTTCTTCCATCCGCCCTTCTAACATTCCTATTGTGAAGGAGGATTATGATTGCCATGATTTGAACATCATTGCTCCCGAACTGGTAGAGCGGGTAACCTTCTCCAAGAAGGGCCTCATGTACGTTTATACATACCTATTTACTTTGGATGCGTTTTCTTTGAGAGGGGGGATTGACCTCGTGATTTTGGAATTGTGCCACAAATACCAGGTTTTCTTGGAACAGGTGGGCCCTTTTGTATGGCGAACAGTGGATGTGCCAGAAAATGAAGGAGGAGTTCACCTTGGCTCACATGATGAATCTCTACTCCCCCAAGATTTTTCGTGGGGGAGTAATATATTTCAGCAAACGTGGCCACTATGATTTTCTCACTAGCATGGATGATGACAACGATCATGGATGGATGAAGCGGTTTGTTGTTGTTACCACCAGGGATATCATCCCGGCAACAACTCTATCTTTCCCCGAGTCTCGGACTCATACACGTAAGTTCAAAATCTGTCTTTTCTCTGAAAAAGTTTGTTTCATGTTGCTGATTCTTTTCTTTTTATTATTTCATCAACTATGTGGACACCACAAAGGGTTGAAGGCTTGGACCAGTAGGTTTAGAAAATTCTGGATATTACCACGCCTGAGACTCGCCGGTGGAAGGAATTGGCTCCCAAGTACGGGTGGAGGGCCAAGAATCACGGTAAATTGACTCATAAAATTGACCCTCATTTTATCTTTGTATATAAGAAACTAGATAACCCTACCTTTTTGTTTGATTCAGACCTGCCTCACGGTTCTGTCTCCATCCCCAAGGAGGATGTTTTGTTCGATCCCACAAAGGCTGCGAGGTTTTTGAAGGAGGCTCTTACCCGAACTGGTGCCTCCGGTACTACTCCTGATGCAAGTGCTTTCTCT